AAGATTGGAGGGAGGGTCTAACAGCTATGGACCCGGGCTTCAGTGAAATCTCATTATGGGTGCAAGTTCACAAACTACCTCTGAATTGGCTGAGTGTTGAGGTGGGTAGAAAGATTGGTAGGCTGTTCAAGAAAATCAAGAATGTTATTGTGGTGAAATCAGGGGGTGCCCAAGGCAGCTACCTAAGGCTGCTAGTATCTCATGATGTGGCAGAACCAATTCTCAGATGTGCTCACATTAGGCTTGGTGACCAACGAATGGGAGTAACATTTCTGTATGAGAAGCTAGTCAGCTGCTGTTTTTATTGTGGACTGGTAGGCCATCTGGAGAGGGCTTGTAAAATCCGAGCTAAGGATATTGAGGAAGGAAACCAGAAAGTGGGGCAGTACGGTGAATGGTTGAAGCTATGGAAACTGGAAGGATGGGCGGATCCTCTCAAAACTCTAATCCCTCTCAGTCTAACAGTAATCTGAAACATACAGGGGAACCATCTAACATAATCCCTGAGGAGGATCCTGATAGTAACAAGATCCCAGGAGAGACAACTGAAAATCTATCCCAAGGGAACATCCTAAATGATTATATGTCAATAGCACAAGTGGGCAGTCCTGAGGTAAATGAAATCATTGATACCACCATGACTCAAGCTGCAGATCAGTTGATGAGACATGAGAGACAACTAGTGGTGGTGGAGGATAAAGAGAGTGCTCACAAAGAGGGTAAATCTCAAGGTAAGGAGATAGCTGACAGGGAGGAAGGTATGCAGATAGTTCATCATGAGTTTGCAAAGAATAACAACTCAACTTGGAAACGGATAAAGTCAGAATCGGGTAGGTTGCAGAGAGCTGGAGCATCTAGTTCTGTAAGGGTTACTCCAGTTTTGGGAAAGAGAGGCAGGCCACCCAAGTCACAATACAATAACCCAGGGGAGGAGAATCCAGAGTTAGTGCCCAGCAAAACCAGGAAGATGATTCATAACCAATATCAACAGGTGGGGGTAGCCAGCCTTGAATGGCCCCAAGGTGATAAATAAAGACAATCATGTGGAACTGTAGAGGTCTGGGAGGACCCTCTACAGTTTCCCAGATCAAGGACTCCATAAGAGTCCACCTTCCAAATTTTGTTTTTTTATCTAAGACTAGAAAGAACAAGTTCTTTACCGACACTGTGTGCAAAAAGCTTGGGTTTGCTGAGAGAAACTTTACTGTGGAGCCAGTTGGATTGAGTGGGGGTCTATTATTGCTGTGGAGTAGAGATGTAGTGGTGATGCAGATTATAAACCTTAACTTCTGTTTGCAAGTGGAATATAAGATGCCTGGATCTATTAATAGTGAGTGGCTAATTCTGATCTATGCAAGCACTGATTACCAGAAGAGGAAGCTGCAGTGGCAAGAGTTAGAAGGAAGTCAACAGTTATGGGGTTCTACCTGGTGCATAGGAGGGGATTGGAATGAAGTCTATGGAGATGAAGAGAAAAGAGGTGGAAGAGTGAGATCCCAAAGAAGCTATGAGGATTTCAATAACTTTATTGCTAGGATGGGAATGTTGGAAGTTCACATGGAGGGCTACCCCTTTACCTGGTGCAATAACAGAAGAGGTGAAGACTTTATAGAGGAAAAACTTGACAGGGTGTTTGGTTCCTTCTCATGGATGACTGGTTATCAACAAGCTAAAGTCCAGACCTACTGCAAAAGCTCTTCTGATCATTCTTTGCTGCTGCTGGATACAGGTACTTCACCAAACCAATTTTTCAAAAGGTTCTGCTTTGACAAAAGGTGGCTGGGTCAACCTGGATGCCAAGAGGAGGTGGAGAAAGTTTGGGGTGGATCTGTGGAAGGGTCATTGATGTATACCTTAAAAGAGAAGATTAAAAAGACTAGGATGGCATTAACCAGGTGGAATAAAGAGTCTAAATCTGATAATGTGAAGAAAATTGTTGATCTGACACTGAAGTTGGAGGACATGAGAGCTCTAGGGGGACAGAGGAATTGGGAGGAATGGGACAAAGTTAAAAAACAGCTGGATGAATCTCACCTATCAGAAGAGGAGTTTTGGAGCCAAAAAGCTAGAGTCCAATGGCTAAAAGGAGGGGACAAGAATACTAAATTCTTCCATGCCATCACAATGCAAAGAAGGAAGAAGAATGCTATCTCTAGAGTGGTGGATAATTTGAACAGAGTTGCAGTTAGCCAGGAGCAGATTGAGACTTGTTTTATAAATTTCTATCAATCTCTTTTTACATCTGAAGGGTCTCGAGGTGAAGAAGAAATCTTGCAACTAATATCTCCTGTTATTTCTGAGGAGGTGAATTCCAGACTGATTACACCTGTGGATGAGGAGGAGATCAAGTGTGCCCTTTTTGCTATGAATCCTAACAAGGCACCAGGAGAAGATGGTATGACCCCTTTATTTTTCCAGCATTTTTGGCCCATTATTAAAGGTGATCTCTGTGCAGCCATTTTGAATTTCTTTGACACTGGTAGAATGCCTAGAAGCTGGAATCACACAGTGATAACCTTAATTCCTAAATGTGATAATCCAGAATCTGTCAATCAGTTTAGACCTATCAGCCTTTGCTCAGTCTCTTATAAGATAATTGCTAAGATTATTGCTGCTAGAATGAGAGAGTGCTTAAATTGCTGTATCAGTGAAACTCAATCTGCCTTTATACCTGAAAGACAGCTTTTGGACAATGTGGTAGTTGCTCATGAAGTTATCCATTATCTGAATAGACACAGGGTGGGGAATAAAAGCTTCATGGCTGTTAAACTAGATATGATGAAGGCTTATGACTGTGTTGAGTGGAACTGTTTGATCAAGTTGATGAGGAAGATGGGATTTAGCCCAGTGTTTGTGAGATGGGTCTTTGCTTGCATTTCATCATCTATCTTTTCATTTAACATCAATGGCAAGGTGACTGGTTTGGTTGTCCCATCTAGAGGGCTTAGACAAGGAGACCCATTGTCCCCCTATCTGTTTTTGCTGGTTTCTGAGATTTTTACCAAAATGATTGGGAATGCAACTAGATCTGGTGAGCTGCAGGGCTTGAAGCTTACAAGGGTTGGGACTGTTCTGTCTCATCTCATGTTTGCTGATGATACTCTTCTGTTTTGTGTAGCTGACTCTCATAATGCTTTGAATCTGCTCAGGATCCTTGACACTTACCAGAGATTTACAGGGCAAAGAGTGAACTTATCCAAATCTTCAGTCTTCTTCAGTAAAAATGCTTCTGTTGGGCTCAAGCTGGAGATATGTCAATGCTTACAGGGAATTGAGGTATGTCATTCATCTAGATACCTTGGAATTCTTTTAGGAATTGGCAAAAATAAGAGAGAAGTGTTTGAATATGTTACTGCTGTGGTTAAGAAAAAGATTGTGAGCTGGAAAAATAAGTTTTTATCATTTGCTGGTAAGGAGGTTCTATTAAAGGCTGTGGTCTCTGCTTTGCCTATATTTGTGATGTCTTGCTTTTGCTTACCTGTGGGGGTGTGCAAAGAAATAGCACAACTTTGTGCTAATTTTTGGTGGTCAACTGGTAAAGAACAACAGCAAGGAGTGCACTGGCTGGCATGGCAGAAGGCTACTACTCCTAAATGTGCAGGGGGACTTGGGTTTAAAGACTTTAGGGTTGTCAATGACTCTCTCATATTGAAACAGATCTGGAGATTGCTAACTAAGCCGAACTCTCTAATGACTAGAATCCTGAAAGAGAAGTATTTCCCCAATGATTGTGTGTTGAATGCTAAAGGGAAAGCTTCTGCCTCTTGGTTATGGAACTCTTGGGTTAAAGTGATGAATAAGCATAGAGACAGGTTTAGGAAGCAGGTGAATGATGGGGCTAGTACCAAAATCTTTTCTGATCCTTGGGTGATGGGGAGCAAGTCAGGGTTTCCCTGCCTAAAGCAAGATTCTGGTCAGCTGCAGGTGACTTGGGTTAGGGACTTATCGTCTGATTCTGGTAGAGGTTGGAATAGTTCCTTGCTGCATCAGTTATTCACTCCAGACTCTTGTGCAGCTATTATGGATATGAAATGTCTGAATTCTGAGGAGAGAGACAGATGGGTTTGGTGTCCTGATGCTAAGGGTCTTTTCTCTGTGGCTTCAGCTTATGAGTTTGCTATTAATCAGAAGGTATTGAAACTGGACACTCCTAGCTGTAGCTATAACCAGAAGTTGGATAAGAAAGCTAGGATGAGATGTTGGTCTTTGCAAGTTAAACCGAAGCTGAGACACTTTCTATGGAAGTGCTTCACAAACAATCTCCCAGTTGCTCAGAATTTGCTGCAAAGAAGAATTGATGTGGATCCTTTATGCAAATGCTGTGGGGAAGAGTTAGAATCTGTTGCTCATTTATTTTTTGATTGTAGGAGGGCACAGCAGGTATGGAAGGCTTCTTCTTTATCTTGGGACTTCACTGAAGCAGTTCACACAGGCTTTAAAGGGTGGTGGTGGCAAATTGCAGAAATGAAGCTGACACCAATTTCTAAAGCTCGCATCCAATTATCAACTTACATTTTGTGGTGGCTGTGGAAGTCTCGGAACCTATGGGTCTTCCAAAAAGTATGGATGCCTGAGGAGAATGTGGCCAAGTTCGCTCATAGAGAGTGGTCGGAAGCTGCCTCTTATACCTAGTAATTTTTCTATTGTTTTTTGTTGGTTTTGGTGTTGGTGTTCGGATTGTGTATCCATAGCTAGGTCCTGTCAGGTTCAGTGGCTTGGATTATGTATTGTTGTTTAGTTTTCGGTTGTTGTGTATGTACTAGGTTGTCATGAGGGCACAGGTTCTCTTAACTTCGGTTATGCCTGTTGTCCGTATTTGTGTGTTATGCTAGGCCACCATATTGGAGTGGTTCTCTGGGTTGTATTATGGCTAGTCGGCCATGCGGATGTAAACTCTTTTTTCATTTGAGTAATATTATCGTTTGGAAAAAAAAAAATAAAAAAATTATGCACTCCAAATTGGAAAATGGGACAAAATCAAGAGGCACAAAAAAAAAAAGAAAAAAAGAAAAAGAAAAAAGTAGAATTACCACTGTACCATTTCCGGTTATAACAATAGCCCCACAGATATATCACGTGCCTACAGCTGATTGGCCCACTTACCGCTAGAGCAACGTATTTATCCTACGCGTGCCCGCACTTTGCCCATCCCCTGTTAAACTATATAAGTCCCCAGACCCCCGCCACCGAGCGGCCACCGAATCCGGCCAATCTCAGCCGCTGGCCGAGCAATTCGTATCTCAAAAACCCTCACCCCACCGCACCGTAAAACGACATGACATCAATCTCGCCGCAAAACCATGCGTCCGCCTCCGCGCGAGAGGAATCTCTCCGCCTATTGCCCTCATCCGGCGCCGTCTCCACCAGGACGGCGGAGCCCGACGACGAGGAGGCGGCGTTCGAAGCCGGCGAGAAGATCCCGATCGGCGGCGACGGATTCGAGCTGGAATCTCCGGATTGCGCAGCGGCGCCGCCGTTCTCGTTCCGGAAGCTGTGGCTGTTCACCGGCCCGGGATTCCTGATGAGCATAGCGTTCCTGGATCCGGGGAATTTGGAGGGGGATCTCCAGGCGGGGGCCGTCGCCGGGTACTCGCTGCTGTGGCTGCTGATGTGGGCGACGGCGATGGGGCTGCTGATCCAGCTGCTGTCGGCGAGGATTGGGGTGGCGACGGGGCGGCACCTGGCGGAGCTCTGCCGGGGAGAGTACCCGTATTGGGCGGGGATTGTGCTGTGGTTCATGGCGGAGGTGGCCCTCATTGGGGCGGATATTCAGGAGGTGATTGGGAGCGCTATTGCGATCCAGATTTTGAGCCGCGGTGTGCTGCCAATTTGGGCTGGTGTGCTAATTACTGCTTCTGATTGGTAACTCCAGTAATAAAAATAAAATTAAACTCTTTAGTTAATTTTGAATTTCATTGGTAGTATTAATGAAATAAGATGCANNNAACAAGATTGAGATCCTTAGCCCTGATATCATGAAATGGAACTGCAAAAAAAGGGTGAAGTACAGTCTGAAGATTAAAGCTAGCCTAGTTAAAACTTTCATTTATCACGAATTTCATTTTTTATCTCTTTTACTTATTTGTACTTGCTTGTAGTTTCCTTGTAATTTATAGCTATTTTGGTTAAACATCATATTTCTTACCTAGATTTTTATCTTTGCTTTTACGAAAAGAATTTGTTGCAGAATGCAATCTGGTTTTGGAAAAGTGGTTCATTAAATCTATGTGGAATCCAGCATCCATTTGGCACTATATACCTTCTATTGGTTGCAAAAGTCACTAGTTCTTATTTTAGTGGAAACCGAGAGCATCTTTGTTATAAGATAATTTTTTTGGTAGAAATTCTATCTCCAAATCTGATGCTTTTCCAAAATTGCTGTGTTTTGATAGTTACGTGAGGGAAGAATCTAACTTTTTTGTCCATTATATATAAAATAAAGTATAGTACTTTTTTCTTGTGTTACGTTTTGAGATGACAACAGGTTTTGGGGGTGTATTCCTACTCAGAAAACCACTGCTTTTAGCTTTGTGGTGGTTGATCTTGTAGTCCTACTTCTGTTTTTCTTTTAGGTTATTAACTGATATTAGTTATGTTTTTCTCTTTGAATTCTTTTTACAGCTTTATGTTTTTACTTCTTGAGAACTATGGAGTGAGGAAGTTGGAAGCTGTGTTTGCAGTTCTGATTTCGACTATGGCTCTATCATTTGCTTGGATGTTTGCGGATGCCAAGCCTAGCAAAACCCAACTTTTAATTGGTTAGATGCATCCTTGCAATTTTGAACATTAAAATGATTAAAACAGTTTCTAGAAAATATAATAAAGAAAATAAAAGGTTATAAATTGCAAAAATTACCCCCAAGGTCAAATCCAATCACTCGACAACCCAATCGTCCTTCAAAATTACATGCACCCTTTGACACTTGTTTGTCCATTACAAATTGTTCTCATAAATAAGGTATAACTTAGATAGATATATATAAATCTTGTGAGGGTAACTGTAACACTGAAAGATAACTCGAGTTCCTTTTTAAATAAGCTTAATCTCAGGATAGTTTTTCTTTCTGTAGGCATAAATCTGATTATTTTATGGTTTTAAACAGGACTCTTGGTCCCAAAACTCAGCTCGAGGACAATCCGCCAGGCAGTAGGCGTTGTGGGCTGCGTGATAATGCCACACAATGTGTTTCTACACTCTGCCTTAGTACAGTCGAGAGAAATCGACCCCAGAAAGAGTGGTCAAGTCCAAGAGGCCCTCAACTACTACTCGATTGAGTCCACGGCTGCACTCGCAGTCTCTTTTATGATCAACTTATTTGTCACAACTGTTTTTGCGAAGGGATTTTTCGGAAGTGAACAGGCAAGCAGTATAGGCCTTGTTAACGCGGGCCAGTATTTGGAGGAAAAATATGGTGGTGGGATTTTTCCAATACTTTACATATGGGGGATAGGGTTATTAGCGGCTGGGCAGAGTAGCACTATCACAGGAACTTATGCTGGGCAGTTCATAATGGGAGGTTTTCTCGATTTACGGCTTAAGAAGTCGGTTAGGTCTTTGATCACGAGGAGTTGTGCGATTGTGCCGACTATGGTGGTGGCTTTGATTTTTAATAAATCCGAGTCGTCCCTGGACGTGTTGAACGAGTGGCTTAATGTGCTGCAGTCGATGCAGATACCTTTTGCGCTTATTCCGCTTTTGACCCTGGTGTCGAAGGAGGAGCTGATGGGAGTATTTAAGATTGGCCCTATGCTTGAGGTAACTGCTGAACTTCAGAATTTATTCGATTTGTTTTTCAAGAATTTTCAGCAGCTGGCTTAAATATTTTTGTGAATGTGGAAGAGGTTGACTTTTGAAATGCTTTTTTTTTTCTAGTGTAAGGTGTAAAAATAAGGAAAAAATATGTCGGAATTGTTTTTTTGTAATTTTGGAATTTAACTGTTTGTTTTTTATTAGGTCATATAGGAAAAGAATGCTCTTTGTACTCGTCCCTTTTGAAAATTGTAATCATAAATTGATAAACAATTCAAGTATTTATGAAAAGTTCTTTTGCTGAAAGGTTTGTGCGAATGTGTGATAGAAAATCAATAAATCTCATTTTTTNGTGTTTTTAAGTAGTCCGAAGCTCGGGTGTTTTTCTTTTTAATTCTTTTATTATTATTATTATTCTCTTGTAGATATGCTTCTTTCCCTCACTCTTGAAGGTAGATACTGGCATCTAAGCCTTTTTTATTTTTTATTTTTTTTTGTGTGTGTGTGTACTATAGAGGGCTGCTTGGACGGTAGCTGCACTAGTGATGGTGATTAATGGATATCTTTTGCTCCATTTTTTCGTCTCTGAAGTTAATGGGCTGTTGTTTGGCTTCCTAGTCTCTGCTGGAACTGCAGCTTATGTAGCATTCGTGGTATATCTTATTTCACGTAGCAATAGTGAGCTTTCCAATTGGATAAGCCAATTCGTACCTAAGAGATTCACTAATCCCGGAAATTAGAAGCCATCTAAACTCTTATCTGGTTGAAAAATTTGAGTCCGGAGGGTTCATTGGACATGTCAAGTTCTCGACCTCAAAGTAAAGGCCTGATTATGGAAAATACCCAAGTTTTAGCCTATGTGCAAAAATCCTGGTTATCTTTGACAATTACAAATACCTCCACATTTGTTCCTCTTTTCACAAGAGGATCCTGCAGAGCTGGAGTTATGACCTCAAGGGGTGCAATTGTAATTTTGGAAGATATCTGGTGTCTTTCTGTAATCACTAATTAGGCTTGACCAAGCAATCTCGAACTTCACGCTGAGGAGGCTTCTTTTACCTCTAGCTAAATGGGCAACAGAGCAGACTCAGGTGCTAATTTCCTGCAGTGAACATAACACTGAATGTGAACTTTTAGTTTCTTAGGCTTCAGTTTTACTTAATTTATGATGCTTTTTTGGTGTGCAGCTGCAAAATGTATGTATCATTTGTACTCTGGACTCAACTAATTCGATTCACGGTAATAGGAGATAAACCCGTTTCTTGCTCTCTATATTTTTTCTCTCCAGTAATTTATTCGCTTATTTGTTTCTGCTTAATTCTGAAGAGTCGTTTGTTATGCTCTTTGTAAAGGCGACTTATTAGTTTTAGCTCATTACCTTCTGAAAAGTATAATAATCCAGCTTTCTGTCATCTTAGTAGGGTGTAAAGAACTATGAGGGATTCTAAATACTTTATGTATTCACTCTGTTACAATAACTGGATATATATTGCTAGAGGTGAAGGGTGTTGTTAATCTGTGTCTGTAGTTACAGATGAACTATTTTCTTTTTCTTTCTTATTTTTTTTGGATTAAAATGTGTATTTTAGTTGTACTAACGTAAATAATTGTAAATTTTTCATCATTGATAAAAACACATCTTATAAACATCAACACATTCTGGTAGTGTCGCAAGACGAAAACAGTAGGAGTGTTCAGGTCGAAATCGAACTGAACTGACCTAAAATTCGGTTAACCGAAGTTTTAGCTTGTCCAACATGAACGTCGAAAAACGAAACAAAATTTGTGGTTCGATTTGGTTTCAAACCAAAAATCTGTCGGTTGGATCGATTCGGTTACTAGTTAGCCGGTAAAATAGAAAAAAAGATGAAAAAATCTACAAGTTGTGAGTTGCAAAAATAGCAAGAACTAGATAATTATTAATTTCAGCAAGCCAAACTAAAATGTATATACATTAAAAAAAATAAGATGACTTGTCAAAAATTACAAATCTATGAAGTCTGATATACATACACATGGTTGAAAAATTGAGAGTGTTAGAGACAAGTAGATTTTGGGAATTTCCGAATTGGTATCTATTAATATATAAAAATGCTAAGGGCGTACTTGAATATAAGTTTTTAATTGGATATTTTAATTTTAATTATATTTTTTGTTAACCATAGTTAATTTTGAAAATATTTGTTGTGTGAAGTTTGAATGAGATTTTGAGTTTGTATTAAAATAATTAAAGTAGATGTGATTTATGAAGATGATTGGTTGATATTATTTATTTAGATATATAATATTGAGTAGATTCATTACTCAGAGAACGAAACAAATAATGTTCAACCGCAAACAACGGGTTAACATCCAATCAACTCCAATAACACATAAGTGGAGAGGATAAGACAACAGGAAATCAAAATTGACTTCCCTTAATAGCCGACATGGCTAACCGCAAGCTAGACACACACAAGCTTCCACCAACTAAAAAAAGAACAAGAAGAAAAACTATTAACACAACTAAAGATGAATCCACATCTAAAGCTCAAATGTTACAACAGTTTGTCATCACGCACGCAACATACAATGTCAGCCCACCCTTGCCCTTTTGCTAATTGAAGACTCCATTTTACAGCCATCGGTTTTACCTCTGCTTCATCTCCTCCAAACATCGCCTCAGCCACCCAAGATTTTAGCAACAAATCATCCTTCAAAGCCAAACACTCCAACACTGACGGCTAATATCACACATGTCCTACTCCAACACTTGGTTTGCTAGCAAAGTTTAAGCTGCTTCTGCCAAACCCTATGTTTTCTTCTAATTTTTCTTCCTTCCTAGATAAATATTCCATCCAATCATGCTTGGCTTTCTCTACTAAATCCCTTTCTGACATCCATTTCTTGTTAAAGACCCAAGCATTTCTTGCTTTCCACAATCCCCATAAGATATAGGTAGAGAGAGTAATCGTTGCCATCATATTTGAACCTCTAATGTTGCTACAAATGTCCCTCCACCATGAATTAAAGTTCTCATTCCCATCCTCAATGAAACACCAAGTCAAACCACATAATTTCCAACTAGTAACAGCTCTGAGACAATTGAGTAGTGTATGTTCCAGGTTCTCTTCATGCAGTCCACAACACTGACAGATTACACCCACATTGAGATTCCTCTTTTGCAGCTGAAGCTTTGTTCCCACAAATCCATATCAACACCTTGAGCTAGGTCTAGCAGGTTCCATAGTAACAGCTAAAGTTTGATTTTGATCTGGACTAGCAGGTTCCAAGTTGATTTCCTCATCCTCTGAATCCCATGAAGATCACCCCTTGAGCTAGGTCTCTCTTTCTGGTTTCTTGCCCGATGCCTCAAAATAGTGGCATACACTTCCTTGACAGAAAAAGAACCTTTCTTTCCCCAGTGGCATATCAATTTATACTTGCAATCCCTATTGCTCAAAGGAATCTTCATAATCACTCCTGCATCAAAAGGGTTAAAATTTTGAAGAATAATCTTCTTATCCTATTCTTTTTTCGCTCTTAAGAAACAAATCACACACTTTCACTACCCTACCCCTCTCTATCCTCCTAAAACACACAAGTGGGTTTAAAATAAGAGTTATTGGGAACCCAAGGAGAATTCCATATTGATACAGTATGTTCCATCCCCAATTTGAAACCTAGCTCCTAATTTCAAAGAATCCCTAGCCCCTAACCAACTTCTCCAAAGTCAAGAATAAGACCCTCTAGGCTTAACCTCTAACAACTTCTTACCCCAAAAATATCTACCCTTCAAGACCCTACTAACTAAAAGGTTTAGCTTAGTGATTATCCTCCAAAGTTGTTTAACTAAGAAAGCTTCATTGAAGGCCTTGAGGTTTAGCTTAGTTTTTACTGATTATCCTCCAAAGTTGTTTATTCCAAGAAGCCCAATGAACCATATCACTCCCACTCTGCCCATTTCCCCACCAAAAGATAGCCATACCCCTGTTCAAATTCTTAAGAATAGTAACAGGAACCTTGAAACAAGACATCACAAATGTGGGCATAACCCCAGAACAGACTTAATCAAAGTTTCCTTCCCTTCTTCGCTCTGGAAAACATTTTTTCAGGTCTCAGTTTTTTGGCTTATCATGTCACTCAAAAACTAAAAAATGTCTCTTTTAGTCCTCCATATTTCTAGGGGTAAGCCCAAATATCTAGAAGAAGTCACTCTAGAGATTCGAGACAGAATACTACAAATGTCATTCAGAGCCTCAACATTGATATTTTTTTAGAAGAACATTGAAGATTTTGAATATTAACAAGTTGCCCAGAGTCATTACCATAAAGATTTAGCATGTTGAGGATAAGCAAAACATGCTGTTTATCAGCTCTACAAAAGAAATTGCATCATCTACAAAGTAGATATGTGAAATTAAAGGAGCTTTGACCCCTACTCTAATACCCTTGAACTCACCCCTATTATAAGAGTGCTTTATCAAATTGGACAGGGCCTCAAACACAATAATGAAAAGATAAGGTGATAAAGGATCACCTTGTCTAAGTCCTCTAGAGGGAGCCACAAGACCCAGAGGAACACCATCAATATTAAAAGAGAAAAACACAGAGAAAACACAAGCAAGAACCCAATTGATGAACTTATTACAAAACCCCATTTTCCTACAGACTCAAGCCAAAAAAGACCACTCTATCCTATCATAAGCTTTAGCCATGTCTAATTTAATGGCCATAATTCTTTCTTTGCCTTTCCTTTTGCTATTCAGGTTATGAATGCATTCATTAGTAGTCACAACATTATCAATAGTTTGTCTTCAGGCACGAAGACAGCTTGAGAATTTGAAATGCAAGAAGGTAGAATTGGTTCAAGTCTATTAGCAACTATTTTAGCAATGGTTTTATAGATGATAGAACAAAAACTTATTAGTCTAAAATCTGAGACATAAGTAGGATTAGGCTTATTTTACGTTTAAGGTCAACACAATTTGGTTCAAATCTTTGGGCATACTACCATTTTTGAAGAAATTTTGAGTGACTAGACAGAATTGAGGTTTGATCATTGACCAAGTCTTTTGAAAAAACATGGTTGTCATGCCATCAGCTCTAGGTGATTTGCAATCCAGGTTCATTTCACTAGAAATAGAGGTGTAAAATTACCTCCAGGCTACACAACTATTACTCAGGGTGGAAAGTTTTAAATAGATTGTCAAAATGGTTCACCAACTCTCCTACAATATCCTTTGTTTCCACACACCTGGACCCATCCCCGCTGGTTAAGTTATCTAGGTTATTGGCTTTCCTTCTCTATCTAACTGAGGCTTGAAATATTTGGAATTTTTGTTCCCCTCTCTTAGTCATTTAAGTCTAGATTTTTGTTTCCAGTACAATTCTTAATTTTTTATAAGCCAAACTTAGCAAATTTCTGGAATTAAACCACTCGGTCCAGTCCTTCTCTCCTCCCTCAACTTCAAGTCCCTCAAGTCTAGAATTCAACCTAGTAATTTCAAGAGCAGAGTTTGTTTTAGAGTCAGAACTCCACTTAAGAAGGGCAACTCTAACTCTTTTAATTATAGTTTGAATACTAAACAAATCATGACCCGCCACATCCCTATTCGAGGCTTCAGCAACAATTTCCAAGAAACCAACCTTACTTATCCATGTAGAATCAAAATAAAACCTTTTCCTATTTGTGGAACAAGGTCTGCAAATCACCAGAAAAACCATATTGTGGTCAGAAGAAAGAGCAGAAACATATTTAATCAAGGTATCAGGATATTTGAGAGCCCAGGCAGGACACACCAGGAACCTATCTAACCTTTCTTCAATTAAAGTCTCCCCAAAAACCCCAGTTTACCCCAACCTAAGTTGTGCCTCAATAAAAGACTCCGCTGACCAACCCTTCAGTAGAGTCAGTACTGGCATGAATAAAAACAACACACAAACACACAGGGTTAAAATTCCAATTAAACTTAACTTCTATACCAAAATCCAAACAAGAGATTCCCAAAGTAGTGATATTACCAGACCATCAAAGAAACATGCCACCCTAGTTCCCTCTGATTTAACATATGAAATCGTCATCTTGAAAGTAGTCTTTTTCTTGTTGAATAGTTTTTTTTTTCTTTCTAAATTCAATGTTCGGGAGAGGAGGGAGATGGTCGTGGCTAATTTATTTGATTGAAGTTTGGTGTCTAGTGGTGTTTTGTGGGTTAGTGTCTAGTAGAAAGAATGGAATATCAATATATAATATTTTATTAGAATTGTGTTAATAGTCTTTGGACTTAATAGATAAGTGAATTATTTTGGTGGGTTAGTAGGTTGGTTTATTGGGCTGGCCTAGAAATATAATAATTTTTTTTTCAAACTAATAATTGTAAAAAAAAAGCAAGAGGGCTTCAGCCAAATCCAGGCTTAATCTACATCCGTCCATGGGTTCAAATAAAAACCAGTGCTGATGTGAAAACCGTGAGAACCATATTTGATGTTATTTTTAATTGTGTATGATGTTATTTTTAATATTACATGGTGCTATCATTTTTTAAAAATGCTAATATAAATTGTGCTGCAATTTTAATAAAATACATATTAGTTAAAAATAACACTAAAACACAATCAATAATAACACTATATACAATTAAAAATAGCGGTTCTAATGTCACTAAAACACAATCAATAATAGCACTATGTACAATTAAAAATAGCGGATCTCACGTTAGGATGTAATTCAAATGAGAACCAAGTGCTAGTGTGAGAACCGTGAGCACCGCTATTTTTAATTGTACGTCGTGCTATGATTGATTGTGTTTTAATGCTATTTTTAATCATGATGTACTTGATTAAAAATAGCAACACGATTTATATTAGCATTTGTGAAAATAATAGCACTACCTAATATTAAAAATAACATCATACACAATTAAAAATAGCATCAAATACGATTCTCTATCAAATACGGTTCTCACACCTGGACTAATTTTTATTTGAACCACTCCATATATATAAATTTAAAACTACATGCTCTAAATAAGAGAAGATAATGATGAAAATAAAATACAAGTTATAGTTAACATAGTCTCACGTATCAATTGCAATTTATAAGGACATGAGTGAGCAAGTAGCTCTANCGATATATTTAGTAGACAAAGCTGGAAGTTGTATAGCATAATATTTTTGGGGAGTGAGTAAATTTGCAGTTTGAAATTAATTTAACTATTATACATCCGCCAATTGCGCCACCAATTTCCAATCCGCCTACATTTGTCACCAATCTTTGACTTTTATTTTGTGTCCTTATTTCTTACGAACTTTACTCTTTAAATTCGAACAAATAGAGAACTTAATGTTACCGTTAAATATTGGTACTTTGGTGTTATTGTTGTCTCTTTTGTGCATAACTAGTACGTAGCTTGTGCGATGCACGGATTGTATTTTTTTTAGAATATATTACAAATTGATTTGTATTAATAAATAAAAGAGAGAAATGTTATAAATTGAAGTTATTAATAAATAAAAGAGTGAAATATTATAAATTGAAGTGTATTAATAAATAAAAGAATGATATACCTAGAAAAATTGTCAAATCATAAAAATGTTTCTCGTGAAAAAATAGTATATTATTAAAAATTTCTTTATACACAAGATTATTAGTTTGATTACTGGACAACTCGTCGTCCCACAAACTAATATTTTCAACTTCTTCCTCTTACTTACAAACGAAACAACAACATATAATTGGTGATGACTAA